ATGGTTATATGCAACATTTAAATTTTCTAATGTTATTATTCTTCGAACTAATATAGAACAAGCTTGACTAAAATGGATTAATATTTTTTGATCTTCTTGATCTAAAAAATCCTAAAGAACAACTCTAGCATATATTAAAAAAAATTCTTCCATTCATTAGCTGATAAATTAGAAAACCCTTCTCCAATATCGATTTTATGTAGAATTCATCCAATTTCTGATGGTGGATGAATATTATTCATATGCTTTTGAATTTTCATTAAATCATTCAAAGTTATTTTGTCATGCCTTATCCAAAGCCGTTTTACGATTAAAGATGCAATTCCGATAAATAAATTATGCATTAGATTTACAGGTAAAAATAGATTGGATCGAAATAAGGTAAATAGAGCATTTCTGACCATCTTACATGTGATTTTCTTGCATGTCTTTTTCTAGCTTCATTGCTTTTGCATTTTCTCTATTCTAAAGCTGCTTCTCGATGTTTACTTGCATCCTTAGCAATAAACCATTCATTAATATCATCCATACTACCGAAATTTCTGTTTTTTGCAACTTTTAAATATCTATGACAGCATACAGTGGCTGAATAATGGCCACATAATTTTCTAGTGGCTGGGATATCACAATAACAAGCAATTATTGCGTACTTGATCAATCTACCAAATAAATATTCAAAAGTTTGATCTAATATTATACCTTCCCATAAAGATTAAAATTGATCAACGATTGGTGCTAAATAGTGGTTGATCTGGTGTAAACTTGCTTCGTTAGGACCTGGCATTAATCCTAAAATAAGCATATTTTTGGGTTTAAAGCGTAATTCTCTTGGAAGATTACAAATAGCTCTGTATATAGCACTGGAACTATGAACTGTCCTTTCAAATGGCTGAAACCAGTCAACGTTAATCATAATACCTAAATGATCATCTGCATATTCTTTATTAAAAAATTTCTGTTCGTTTAAGAGCTCTTCTATATCATATAATTCTCTATTGTTTGAAAACTTTTTCCAAATATTGCCGTCATATATATTATACAGGATTTCTTCTTGGGCACTCCGATTGGTCTATAATCTGAGATTTTTTTCGAAACTTGGCCTTTGATACATACGTAAAAGTTGATTTTTTATATTGGCCATTGGATAAATCAACAATGGTGAATTAACGATTTTATCACCTCCTAGCTCTTTTTGTTCTGATAAAGAAGCATTACATTTTCGAAGAAAGTGACGGTGATAATTCAGAAATTGTATATGATCACATCTTTTTATCGTTTTCTACTCTTAAATTGTGTATTGTTCAACATCATTTACATTATACAACTTATGACATGAAGGACACACTGAAAACATGATGAATTGATGTTTTAATCCCAATTTCTTTCTTGTAGTATATAAAGAAGTTGGAAAGTCTTTAAACTGATCATTATGATCCAGTTCTATTAAAACATGTTTAACAAACTTGATTAATATGTCAGTTACTGTATCTGATAAGCAAAATCTGGTTTGGAATCTTAAAATGAATATAATGATCCATTCTTTGTCGATATTTTGTAGATCATCAAAACTGTCAGGAAAATCAAAACCTGGTGGAGAATAATCTTCAAAAACATCAGCATTGCTATTATTGCTATCATCGCTATCATTGCTATATCGCTATCATTGCTATATCGCTATCATTACTATTATCGCTATCATTATCATCGTCACCAGAACTTGAATTACTATCAGTATTATTATTATTATCGGCTTCTTTAGAATTTTCCCAAATAGTATTATTTCTGTTTCGTTTTCTCAGTTTCAAAGAAATTAATGCTAAATTTTCTAGTTGTGATGTACCTTGGAGTTCAATAGAAGATTCTTCAGCTTGGAGTTTGATAAAAGATTCTTCGTTAATAAATGAGCATTGTGATGATTCAATCATTAGATCATTTTCGTTTTGTAGCAAAACGGATGTGTTTGTAGTAACATTTTGATTCATTGAATGTTTATTTTTGGTTTTTGGATCAACATAAATTCTGTTACATTTACTACAAAAACACCTCACTTGATTTCTTGTTCTAGAACATTTTTTAGTATTTAAAATACTTGTAAATTTTTGATTTGATAAAAAAAGAAATGAGAAGACAAAAAAATTATGAATTTTTCAATCTGAAATTTATATCGTTTTTTATTTGATAAAACAAGAAATTTAAATTATTACAATTAACATTATTGAATGATTTAATAATTAAAGTGAAAGTTCTATTTATATAATAATGAAGTATTTTTATCTATTTTTAGATAATAGAATATTATTTACTTTTTCATAAGCCTATTTTGGAAAAGAATGTACATGAACCATAAACTCTGTAAAATAAACTTTTTCGTTTAACTTTACTAATATAAATATGGTATTATTAAATAAACTTTCATTTAAACTTTTATAAATAAATAAATAAATAAATATATATATATGTATTATATATAGCCGACTTATTTCAGAAACTTGGAATTTTCATCAACTAAAATTTTCTTACAATTTAATTCAATTAATATGATTTCTAATTATACCAAAGGTCAAAAAATTATCTTGGATAATTACGTAAGATAAATATTTTTATCTTTTTTTTTTTTTTTTGTTTTTCTTTTATTACAATTGATTTTTCAATATTTTCTTATAATGTCTCAACAACGAAACGCTTTAATCAAACGTGCATCACTTTATCCTTTGTTTTTTGATGATACAATTGCACAGAACAATCCTATACGTGGTTCTCGTGGTAGAACTTCTTCTCGAACTTTGACAACACGCTCGCATTCCCAAGAATCTTTATTAGGATGTTAAGGTCAAGATTCGTATGAAGAACGTGTTGCAAGGTTGGAAAAAGGAATGATAAACATCCAAGAGCAAGTGAGAATCGGGTTCAACCATCTTTCAAGTGAAATACGAGCTTTAAGTTTCTCTGTAGAACCTAGACCACAAATTTCCAATCAGAAACATAAATCAATTGAATGTAATAGCCAAAAATCAATTAAAAGTGACTATCTGAACGATTCACTTGACGAAATCAATGATATTAGAACAGATATTGAGCAAGACTACTTCGAAGACATTATTCCTATATGTGAAAAATCTTTTCTAGAAGAGGAAATAAAATACAAGGATAGTGAATTGCAAGAGGAGACGAGGAAAAACCTTATTAAGAGAAAGCGAAAGGAGATCAGAGTTAATTCTGTTAATATGTTATTATGCTTTACGTGATCTTCCTTCGTAAAAACTAACAACTGTTTATTATGTAATCATTATTTTATAGAACAAAATAAAGATCTTATTACAAAGCGCAAGATTCGATAAATTTCTGATCGATTACACAAAAAAATTTAGCGAAATAGCCCCGCAACTTGAACGAGAATTGATACCTTGTATTCGAATAATTCTCGAACAATGTCAATTTCAGGTTACATTGAAATTGATTCAAGATGCATTGTCCAATTATCACAAGAATGATCGATGAAAATAGAAAGATGGGCAGCTAAACGATGACCAAAAAAGCAAAAGAAGCGCCAAGGGCATATAACAAATCAGTTATCTGAGGTTTTATTTTTTGTTTAACTCTTTAAAAATATAGTAAAAATTCTTAAATAACATTTTATTAATTATAGAAACGTGAGCGAAGACTGAAAGGAGCTTTGTCCATGACAGATGATCCAAAATACAAAGAATTAATAATCGAACATGGAATTGAAGACGTAAATGAGATATTGGGCAGAAATGACTACCATTCTCCAGAGGAAAGCGATCTGGAGAATGATCCCGATTCCTCCATAGAACGCAAGCGACTCCTGGTATACAAACTATCTTAGAGAACTGATAAAGTAAGTTTAGCGGGTTTAATTTAATTTATCAATTTACTATTTTGATTAACTAATTTCTATTTATCAGTTAACAACTCTTTTACATACAATTGATGAATATGTCGAGAAACACTTTCCAGAAAATAAGAAAGTACATCCTTGAGTAATAAAAGATGAAGTTTAGAGGAAAGACATTCTATCGAATGCTATCTGGTGGACCGTTAAAGATAGAAATCCACTATCCCACTTTTCAAATCAAGAGAACCAGAAAGAGATGATTTTGCGGATGATATAAGCGATTTGGGTAATTGTAATATTTTTTCGTATATTTTTAGTAAAATTCTATAACTTTTTATACAATTTTATAGATCCTATGGTTTCAAATAAAAAATCTCAAAGACGAAATTCAACCGATCAAAATTCAGGTAATTGAGAAATTTTCTTATAATTTTAAAAATTTTGATTTAACTTTTATAGTTATTACAGTAGATAATGATTCATCACGATCACAACGACAAACGTCAACTTCACAGGATATCATTCCAGCTGGTAGTCAAATTACGGGTAATTTTTAAATTTTAATAAAGATTTAAAAAATTGTAATAACTTCTTTATTTATATCTTTAAGTTGATTCTATGAATAAATCACGATCACAACAAATGGTGACATCTCCACGAAATCCAAGAGAGAATAGTAATAGAGATAATAGATATCTTAGTGATATTTGTTATATATTATTATTTAGGTTTTTTTGAAAATTCGAATAATTAACTTTATAATAGATTCTATGCATGAATCATTGCAATTAAAACAAAAAAAGAAATCATTATCGAAATCGCGTGAAAATTCTCCAAGAAATTTGAATGATGGTGATGATGACGAGTCATATATTGACGATATTTTTTAGTATTTTCTAAATTAACTAATATTTCATACAAACAGATTTTGAATCACGAAGATCGTTTTTAAACCTAGAAGTGATTCGAAATCATATGATAATGATGACGATTATGATCTCAGTAGTAGGTATTTTTATTTTTTTGAATATTCTCTAGAAAAAGCAAGATTAATTTATTTCATACAATTAGATTATGATTCAGGATCATTATCAAAACAAACGTCATCCCAAGATAAAATTCCAATAAGTAGCTCAAAATCAAAGAGCGACAATAATTATGGTCATAGTGGTAAATATTTTTTTCTTTTTGAATATTCTCTATAAAAAAGCGAAATTAACTTTATATTTTATGAATTATACAACAGAATACGAATCATGAAAATGCACAGCCTTGACATATGATAGCGTTCCAAAAAGAATTTCAGTTTCGAAGAGCAAGGACAACAATAATAGTAATTACAAAATTTTTTAGAAGATCTATTAATTCGGTGGTCTAAATATAACATCTTTATTAATTTTTAAATAGAGCAACAATTATCAAGAACGTTAAGAACGAGGAGCAATGTTAATTATAATTACAGTCAAAAAAATCATATGCAAAGGAGAAAGTAGTTAAATAGTATATTAATTGCTATAAATTTAGTGAAATTGATCATTTGCTTAAAATTTAATAAAATTTACCAAAATTGAGTTAGTAATTTGTATAAATTTTAATAAAATTGATTAACATTTGAATAAAATTTAATCAAAATGGGAAATATTGTCAAATAATTTGTATCAAAATTAGGCAACATTGACTAATAGTTAGTATAAATTTAATAAAATTGTATAACATTTGCACATAAGATAATAAAATTTCAAAATTACTGCAACTTTTAATAAAAATTTTCTTTGTTAATGTTAAAAAATTTAGTATTTGGTTCATTTTTTCATGAAAAATGATTAAATTTTGTTAAAACGAAGTAATGATTTAAGATAATTTTTGTTAAATTCCACAGTTTTCACTACATTTGATAACATTTAATTGACAATTCAACTGAAATTTTTAACTATAGAGCAACATTTGAACAGACAATTTTTGGTTAATGCTAGTGAAATAGCGCCATTTTGCCTTAATTTGGTAAATGCAGAATTTCATATTTTTCTAAAATTTAACAAAAAAAAAACACAATTTACCAGGCAAATTTCTGGTAAATTGTGTGACAATGGCCACCATTAAACCTGTGTTATTTAATAATTTTAATAAGCTCTTGTTCACAAACTTATAAAATTAAAGAATAAATAATAATTAAATTATTACAAAACTATCTGTAAAATAATTATCTAATACTAAATTAAAATTAACTGTAAATTAACTGTAAATTGATTTAAGACTGATTTAAAACTAAAAACTGACTATTGAACATCTAAAACTAACTAAGACTAACTTATGAGAATACATGAAATTTCTATCCTATTTATATAAAACTTTTGATCTAACTCTATTATTAAATTAAGATAAAGTATAACTTAATAAACTATAGAAATATTATAAACATTATTCCCATTTTGATGAAAATTTTAGCAAAAAATTCTGTTAACTTAATTAACAATTTTAACCAAATATATCATTTTAACTATATTAACATATTTAACTTCATTTTTTTTCAATATGATAATGTCATAAGTTTATTATATTTATATTATATAATTACAAATAAGATTAAAAATTAAAATAAAAATAAAAGTAAAAATAATAAAAAATCTATGATTTTTCCTGTGATTCTATTACAATCTATTTGGATTGATTAATCACTGAAATATCTCTTAGAAAAACCAAAAGATTTATATCTAATGATTTAGATATCAGTAAAACATTCAAATGATACTATCAGTACTTATTTTGGAAATCTAATTAAGAGAAACTATATACATAGTTAAGGAGATCCAAGTTATCCAAATATTTAAAATATAATGAATGGATTTGAAACTGACAAACATTTTATTTTAATTTTTTTTTCATTTTTAATCTAATAGATATTCCTTTCAGTCTCTCTTTCTTTATTATTTTATTATATCTAGAAATCAAAATATTTTATGAAAAGCAAAAGTAAGAAAATTAGAAATATTAATTAGAATATATTTTAAGTTAGAAGGAGAGAACAACTCCTTTAAAAGTAAAAAGATATTATTAGAAATAATTTAGTATATACAAGTAGTGAGATTAATAGAGTGATCCAAGAAATTGTTATTTTATTATAAGATAAAAATTATGTGAATTTACAAATTTTGGTGATTTTATTTAATCTACACAGATAATTTTATAAATGATAATAATTTTCTATGATTGTATAACAAAAAATATACAGCCAAATTTATATAGGTTTAGATATCTTATTGATAGTTTATTAACTGTAGTGATACTGTTATAAGTTTATTATATTTATATTATATAATTACAAATAAGATTAAAAATTAAATAAAAATAAAAGTAAAAATAATAAAAAATTAAACTATGACTATCCTCTGTGATTATATTACAAATTCGTTTAGATTGACCAATTACTGGAATATTTTTCAGAAAAAATCAAAAGATCTATATCTATTAATTAGATATTAGCAAGACATTCAAATGAAACCATCAGTACCTATTTAAGAAATCTAACTAAGAGAAACTAAATTTTATAGCCAAGGAGACCTAAATTATCTAAGTATTTGAAGTATGATAAATAGATTTTAAGACTGACAAACATTTTACTTTAACTTTTTTCTTTTTCAATCTAATAGAAATTTCTCTTAATCTCTCTTTTTTGATCATTTTGTTACATCTAAGAATCTAAATATTTTCATAAAAAGTGAAAGTAAGAAAATTAAAAATATTGATTAAAATATATTTTGAGTTGAAAAGAAAGAATAGCTCCTTTAAAAGTAAAAAAATACTGTTAGAAATAATTACTTTTGTCAGGTGTATATAAGAAGTAAGATTAAAAGAGTGATCTAAGAAATTTATGAACTGTTGTTTATCATGAGATAAAAATTAAGTCTATAATTATTATTCTTAAGTTTGTTGATAATTAAATTATCTAAAAAATTGCTTGTAGATCTACAAATTTTTGTGATTTTATTTAATCTACACAGACAGTTTTACAAATGATGAAAATTTTTTATAATTGTATTATAGAAACACATAGTTAATTTTTATATAGATCTGAGCGTAATCTATTAACTATAAGTAAGTCTTCTTATCATTTTTATAGAGATATTTTGAAATTATCGATACGTTGTTGAATAAAATAAATAAAATAGCAGATTCTATCATTATTTTTTTATTTTATTAATAGTGAGCTATTTTGCTTACAAAGATTTAATAATATCATATTTAAGTTTATACATATATAATAATAAACAAAATGTGCATTAATAGAAGTAAAAGAAATATAGTATTTAATTACAGATTTAAGGATGAATTGATAGTTTGTAGGAGAAATTAGAAAGGTATTGGAGAGAGCAGAGGTAATAAAAAAGAAAGAGAAGGAATATATTTTGCATTGATAATACAATTTATTGAATTTTTAATTTATTTGTAATTTATTGAATTTAAATATGAATATAATGAATTATAAGAAGCAGTAGACATTGTTAAGCCTAAACACTACATTATTAGGATAACAAAGCTTATTTGCTAACAGGGAGTTTAAGTCATAAACTATGAAAGAAATAAATATTAATTTATTTAAGTTAAAGGGTCAGATCGTCTTTATTGATGATTTATATTTTAAGAAAATAGATATTGACAAAGATATAGTTTTTATGTTGTTAAGATTATACTTTATTAATTGTATGATAGGAATTTATTAGTTTGTTAAGGTGTCAATACAGGATACAATCATAAGATAGAGATAATAATTATAATAATGTAAATATAACTATGAAAATAAATATAGTAAATAAAATAATGATAAACGTAATAATAAAGATAATAATTATCACAACAATAACCGTGATAGTAGTGAAATTAGTGAAAATGATGATCACAATTTCCCTAGTGATCATTGGTGAAATTAGTTGACATAGTCATTTAATTACACAAACAGATTATCACTAATAACTTTCACCTCTGACATCTGAGTTCCTATGATGGTACTAGCTTTCTATACAAGCTATTGATGTTATTCACAATTAATACGAGAGACCATTCCTATAGTTATATGCTTAGTTTGAGTAATTTGGTCTATTCCAATTAATTTATATAGGTAATATACTTATATAACTACTTTTCGGTAGTATGGTAAGAGAAGGTTCATATATTGTGTTCTTTCAGTTAGTGATTCAGTTTTAGTTTTAATAGCCTTTCCCATATGCCAGAGGACTATTAATATTTTGACTCAATTTCTTAAGCTTTTGCTCTTCTAAGTTATCAAAGTAGAGATTTTACTTGTTGTAAAGCGGTATCATTATGCTAATAAAAAGGTGATAGAATATCTGGATAAAGTGGTTCAATTTGTTGTAAATCTGCTAAAATTTGATTATATAGTTTCATTTTAAATTTGGGAAAAAGGGTGAAGTTCAATCAATATCTACTCTATTTATATAGATTTTTAATAAACTTCTATTCACAGGAGTTTTTAGGACTTTCCCGTTTAATTCCCTAATCTTGTAAGCTCTATTTCTAATTATGTTATGTATATAATATAGTCCTTTCTACTTTGGGTCTAGCTTTCCTGACCACTGCTTATCTAATGTTACTTTGTAATACAGAACTTGATCACCTATTTGATATGACACAATTTTCTTTAATTTTTCATTATGTCAATCTTTCTGTTTTTGTTGTTCTTTTTGTAAATTTTGTTAAACAGTATTATGAATAATTGGCAGCTAATCTAATTGTTTTTCACATGGTTGAGCAAGAGGGATTCCTTCTCCATTTCTGTACTATCCATTGGCAATTAGCTTCCCGTCTATACATAAGGAAAAAGAGTGATATTTTTGTAACAGAATGTTCATTTGTACAATAAGTGAAAAGTGCAGGGGCAATAAAATTGATCACAATCTCTTTAATGATTGGTAGCAGTTCGTGTAAGGGCTTCTATTAAAGTTCTGTTAAACCTTCAATTAATCCATTGGTCTGTGAATGATATGGCATCGACATTCTATGAGATATTTCAAATTTCTGTAATAATTCATATAATAGTTGATTGTTAGAATGAGTACCACGATCAGTAAGTATTTCTTCAGGATATTCATGTTGATAAATTATATCTTTATATATGAATTGTACAGTTATTTTAGTATTATTTTCTCTTACAAGCTTAGCTTTTGGCCACTTGGTTAAATAATTCATAACAACAATTATATACTTATTTTCTTTACTTGAAACTGGTAAAGGTCTAACGTAATCTATTTCAATATGATGAAATGGTTATCCAATAGGTATAGGATATAGAGGTTCTATTCTTGAGGCTCTTCCTCTCTTCTGACAAGAGTCACATGATTACACATAGTTCTTGATATCTTCAAACATTTGAGGCCAATAAAAACGTTTTCTAATTTTTTCTATTATCTTTTCTTTTGAACTATAAGCGGCAGTTAGATCATTGTGAAACATGTAAAGGTAGGTTTTAGTTCTATTTTCTTGAGTATTCTAATTGGGTTACTTGGGTTATTTTTGTTGATTTTGTATAGTAAATTATATTTGATAATATAATATTTTGATAATACGATTAACTTGTGTTATTGTGTTTAATTAAAGGTAGTAGGGTATGTTTGGCTGGTTAAATAATTAAATAGTTGATTATATTGTTATTCTTCTATGGTTAAGAATTTAAGCTGTTTATCACACTGTAAACACTTTTGCTTTCACTTAATTCTTTATGTATTATATTAGTGGTTGATTTAATAAGAAGAGGAAAGGGATGCATTATCAATATCACCAAGGTGAAAGTGTAATTGTGCATGAAGGTTTTCCTATTGTACTAAGAGAGGTTCTTCCCACCAGAGGTTATTAGTCAAATATTTTGGTTTCATGTCCAGTTGGATTTTTCCTAAACCATATCCAATAATACAGTCATGGATGATAGTTCTATATAATAAATTTTTCTTGCATGCTTTGCAATATGTGTGAACATAATGGTTTTCAATATCACATGAAAAAATGCATTGTGATCCTCCTTTAGTGATGGGCTATCTAACGATTACTTGGTTAATCTTTATGTTTTCACAGTAAATTTCTTCTAATTCATCATTAGGAGATTTATACCCAATAGTAGTAATTAGAACAGTATTAGAGTATTGTCAAAACAATTCCTCTTTAAACCATTTGTCATTTTTTCCAGATTCAGGAAAAGAAATATGCCATTCTATATCTTCTTTCATACTAATATTTTTATCCTCATCATCAGCCATATCAGTTTCGGTGAAATCAATAATAAAACATTTAGCAGTTTCTTCATCATACATTCAAGATAATATATCAGCATTTGCATTATATTTTTCTGCTCTATGTTCTATGGTGAAATAATGTTGTTGCAATTCTATGATCCATCTTTGAAGTTTTTAACCATTTTAAAACAGCATGATCAGTTATAATAATGAATGGTCAACTAAGATAATGATGAAAATACTTAATTGACCAGACAATTGCTAAACACTCTAAATCAGTGATAGGATAATTTTCCTCAGTTTTGTTAGTCGATCTACTAGCATATGCAATAACATATTCCTTTCCATCCTTCTTTTAGAATAGTACAGCACCTAATCCTTTTTTTGAAGTGTCAGTATATAAGGTAAAAGGTATTTCAAAATCTGGGTACTGCAAGATTGGTGTCTTGATAAGCCTTTTCTTTAATCAGTCAAAGGTATGTTGTTATTTTTCTTTCTATTCAAAGGGCTGATCTTTCTTTAATAATAAGGTTAAGGGTTTAGCATGTCATGCAAAATCTTTAATAAATTTTCGGTAATAATTAAATAATCCTAATGCAGCACATAATTGAGTTAGACTTTTTGATTCTAGAAATTCTTCAATCTTCTTAATTTTCTTTGGATCAGGTTGGATTCTTTCTTATCTGACGATATGTCCCAAAAATGCTAAGGAAAGTTAACAGAAATAACTTTTCTTTTATTTTATTGCAAGATGAGTATTCTTAAAAGCTTAAAATACTTGTTTAACATGATCAACATGTAATTCAAAAGGTCCTTTCATGTAGATAATTATATTATCAAAATAGACTAATACAAATAATCCAAGAAAATCTTTAAAAATCCAATTCATGAGCCTTTGAAATGTTCCAGATGCATTGTTTAAACTAAAGGGTATGACTAAGAATTTGTATAACTTATTTGCTATGATAAAAGCAGTTTTCTCAATATTATCAGAATGCATTGCTACTTGCTAATAACTACTAGCTAAGTCGAGAATAGTGAACCAATTTGCTCCACCTAGTGAATCCAATAAGTTGTCAATTCTTGGTAATGAATACGCATCAATTTTTGTGACAGTATTAACTTTTCGATAATTGACATAATCTTTTTTTGCCTCCTTTCTTTCCTACAATTACGACAGGTGAGATTCATAGACGATAGAAGAGTTGAATTATACCATTATCTTCCATTTTCTTTAGCTTTGATTCAAAAATCTGGTATTTTCAAGGTTTGTTTGATAGTTTTTGAGTAATTGCCATAGCTGTTCTAGTATAGATACGATGCTTGATCTTTGTTGTTTGTTCTATCTCTATTTGACTTTTTGCGCAGATATTATAATATTCTCCCAGAAGATTCATAAAAGCCTGCTGTTGGTGATAATCTAAAGGTCCTAGTTGCTCTAAGTAAGTTGAATCAGTTTTGGCAGTATACCCTATGATTTCAGTAAGATAGGCAGCTGGATTGTTTTCTAATTGTTCGGCTAATTCTTCATCATCATCAGTATCCTTTTCAGACTGAATAGAAAAGTAGTGATTAGACCATGGGTTGAATACTAACTCATTGTTCAACTCTGATTCTTCTGAGTTAACATTATCAGATAAATAAATAAGATATTCTTCTAAATATTCATCCTCATATTCTTTACTCTTGTATTCGTCTTCAGCTTCTTGAATCACAACTTTAGCTGTTTTAGTGAATGCAATAGGAATTATCATGGTAATTCCATCTTATTTAATAGTAAGAATGAATTGTTTCTAACTCATAATAGCATTGGTTATTCTGAGCCAATCATTTCTAAGTATAAGTATTTCATTTCTAGATTCGAGTACTTGAAAAGATGTGGATATCTTAATTTTTCCAATCTTTACTGGTATATTGTCAATGATTCTGAGGGAACGAGTCCTTGTATTATTGAGGGTTGACTCATTTTATATCCCAATTTTTCCACTAAGGATTTAGTTATGATGCTGGTAGCAGCTCTACTATCGATAATTGCAGTTTGAGCTTTTTGTCTAATCCTCAGAGTATATTTCGCAGCAGAGGTTAGTTCATCATCACTTTCTACTAAATTAACTTTTTAGTCTCATCAGTAACTCTTTCTCTTGAATATCTGATAGCTCGAGCTAAACCAAAATGATATTTAAGAATAGCATGTGCAGCTTGTCCTACTGAGAGTTCACATGGTAAATTTTGCAAATAAGTAGAGATATTAAATTCAGTTAGTTGTTCAATAGTAGTGTTCTGAAAGAGTCAGATCAATTCTGGGTCATTTGACCTGACTCGTGTTTAAAATCTGAATTGAGTTTATCATTATTTAACATGAGTCCTATATTCAACCCAACCTGTCAGGTTAGGGTCATACCTTTGCTTGACCTGGGTTGACCCTAAGTTGACCTGGGTTTAATTGATAATCTTGAATATAAAATGTTTATGTTACGTGATTTTTAATTTCTAATTTTATTTGTGATTTGTGTATGAAAATGAGCGAGACTGTGAAAACAATTTTTGGAAAGCGTCCTTCTCTAAGAAGTAAACTTTTTACTAGAGAACTTTTTAAAGAAAAAGAACTTCCACAAGAACACAAAAATGCAAAAACTTATCGAGTGGTTAAGTGCTTAAACTGCCCGTAAGTATTTTAAAAAAAAAATAAAAATTCATAAGCATTTTTATAAAAAAATTAATTATAAATCTAATCTCTTAAAATTTTAGGGATAAAACATGGTT